TGATTGATGATACCTAGGAGTGATAATTGGTGCACTTAGTCACACTAATCAATTAATTAATCAATTAATCAATCAGTGTGAATAAGAAAATTATCACAACAGTTTAGAAACTAGTCTTATGCTCAGTAGAAATACAACCCTCTGTATCTGGACTAAATGGAATAATCCATTATTGTTATTGTTTTGTTGTTGTTGTTTTTGCTGTTATTATCATTGTTATTTCAGTAACTTGCCACTTCTGTTCCAAGTGTGTACATGTAATATCATCAGACAGGTTCTGGAGGGCAAGGCCATCCTCTCGCCCTATCTGGATATGTTGGAGGGAGAAAGTGAAAGTAATTTGCAGTTGATTTTAGAGGCAAGTTTATTATTTTATGAGGACATTTTAACATGTGGTTTTCTGTTGCTTCGAGTTAAATAAGTAAAGACAATTTTACAAGGCACAGTTATTTTCTCTCTTTGTTTCCATATGCCAGACAATCATGATAATCTACAACTGACATTTGGGTTGAATTATATGATATTATGGATGTAAAAAATTTTGTTTAACTTAGAAATATTTATTTTATTTTCTTAAGCACATAACTGTCATTGTTTTATATATTTCAGATGTCTTCAGAAGTTATCAAGAAGTGTTCATTTCCCAAGAAAACTAATCTCAAGTGTTTTCTTAGGTATAATCTCACTATAATTAAATAGACAATATGTCTCTAAAGTGTGTCATAGTTTTGTTAGCATTAAAAAAAAATTAGATGCGGTGAAAGAGGTAATGAAATATTTGGAAACCGAGTAGACATAAATGAACAGCATCAAATAAAAATATCAGGGCCTTCCATGCTCTTATATATTGTATAGCCATGGGATCCATCATTAGGTAATTATTGTTAGATGTATCCCTTTTCCTTCCCCCAAAAAACAGCATAACCAGCAAGGCAAATAATGTTCCCATTCCTGTGCCCTCCATATAATAGCACAATTCTTTTTTTTTGTACTATTTTGATTAATATTTGCCCAGTGAAGCAAGGCTAAATTGTTGTGCTCCTTGTATCTAACTCCCTCCCTTTAGCAAAATCCCAAATCTCCACTATATGTTGATATAGTACAAAATTGGGACCCCTTTTATTTGCAGTCACCTGTGCCAGAGCCTGCCTGCCTCTACAAACTTCACATCTGGTCTGTTGAAGTCTGATCTGAGACAGCAGTTTGACCAGAGAGAAGTAGAAGAGCTGCAGTCCTATCAGCATGAAGATCAAGACTTCATGAAACTTGGACCAGCTCCTCACACAGAGCTAAATGGTTATTCTTACTTGTAGTTTTTATGTTAAGATTTTTTTCTTGAATTGAAAAGGACTGTAGTTGGATGGCTACCTCTACCCAGAAAATATTGATAAATAAATAAATGAATAATTATCTACATAAAGAAATTGATAAATGAAAATATTAGCAATTACTGAGATATGTAATTCAAATAATTTATTTGCATTTCTATTTGTATTTGATATTATTTTTTGTTTGATTGCTAATACCAAATATTATAAGAGAATATTGATAAAATATCACACAAATTTTCCAATCTGTTACATTTTTATAAAGATGTAATTTTTGTTTAAATTATTCCAGATACGTCCAGCCTGGAGCGCCAGGTGTTGATAACATATGAACCCAAGAAGTTGAAGGAACTTTTGGTAAAACTACAAGGAAAACTAACACGACAGCAGCTCATGGTCCTTAGTGATAAGGTAAATATTTTTCCTCATTTTTAAATTTGATCATTTGACCTGTCTCTATATTTCCTAGTTACCAAATTATGTATCGGGCTGAAACTTTGACTTCAATGTACTTATATTAACATACTTTATTATTTTTAAATAGATATATAAATAGAGCAGTTTGCTCAGTTAAATAATAATTGTATTCTTGTGGCAAGAGTCTCCCTGTTATGCTCTACCATTAATGCAGTGTTTGACCAAGCAGAGCAGTGTACTGTAAAATACCATATTCTAATACAGGAACAAGAGTAAGGTATGTAGTTATTGAAGGTGGTGTGATAGTATATCANACCATCTTCAACTGTTACAATTTGTCCCTGATGATCCACCAGGAATACATAGCCACTCACTGGTTGACACACACCTGTGATGTGATAAATAAATGTGCCATCAGATTTGATCTTCACAATCCTCCCTGTGTCTCCAATGTAGATATCACCATTGTTGTCAGTACAGACACAAGATGGATGTGTTAACTGACCAACACCAGTGCCTGGAATGTTTTCTGTTCCATAGATGAATTTCTCTTCCCCTTTGCTGTTTAACCCCAATAAACGGTGATTGCCAGGAAAAAGTAGGAACACATTCTTCTCCTTGTCAACTGCCATATCTGATGGTGCTTTACCTTGCATCCATGTGTACTTGTCACTAGGGACATGCAATTCACCACTATACTTATGGGTTAGATATTTCACATTGAAATATTTTTGTTTTTTTATTTTGTTAAAATCGTACACCATCTTTTCATTAATCCCTAAAAGACATGCAAAATCTCCACTTGAGGCAACTAGAACATGTTCAGGGAAAGTATTTTTTGGGGAATCAGATTGAGTACTAGTAAGAGAAAATTCAATAACTTGACTTTGATATGGGGAATCTGAAGGGTATGATACAAGCAGACTGGTGTCTTTCACTACAGCCAATTTATGGGGTTTCAAGTATTCCATCTGGACGTCAAAATGCTTCAGAAATTTCCCCTTTGTTGTATATGTTTCTACCAGATCATGTGCAGAATCCAGGGCAAAGATGTCTCCAGTGCTGTTCTGGGCTATGCTTGTGTACGAACAATCTTTAAATGATTTACAATGTTCCAGCTGATACTCTGAGACATTCTCTGCTCTTCTATTGGTCCAACTGCTGCCCCATTTCTCGATGATTAACCAATTTCTTTTGGCAAGGGGCTCATCAGTGGTTCTCTTAGATTCTGCACCATTATACCTCTGAAGTGTTCCCATCAAGGTCCTGATGTCCTCTTCTTTTGGGGTGCTCTCATGGTAGAGAACTTTCAGGGGATCTCGAAGTCGAGGATCAGTATTGCTGAGTGGCGTCTCTGCATACTGCTTCTTGAGCAATTCCACTCGGTTTGATTGTATGTTCCTGCTTTGCTGGATGTTGATGGCTTCCCAGAACATCTCCTCTGTAAGCTTGTGTTGTCTGCTGACTGTATTTGTGTATTTTGCTAGTTCTGTTAGCTTTTCTTTCAACAAATCATCAGTTTCTTTGATTAATTCTTCACATCTGGCATCAGTGAGGACCTTGATTTGGTGTGCCTGTTGTTTGATTCTCTGGTGGATTTCTCTCCTGTTGAATATATATTTGATCTTTTCTTCTTCACAAGTTTTTAATTCTTCTTTCAATTTTAACACAGATTGACTAAACAGTAAAACAGTTGTAGTAAACTCTGAAAATGGTTTAGAATTGCCCTGATCTTCAAGCACCACATCCTGTATTGGACCTTCTTTAACAACCTTCAGTGTGTGACCTTCATTGAGGTCATCATGGAAACTTTTACAGCAGTCACATATGAACTGGTGACATTCTTGACAGTGATATGTGCTGCTGTCACCGCCACACAGGTCACATGACTTGACATCTGCCTTGGTGCTCTGAACTTCTGCCATAAACAAATTGTGAGGAAGTCCTTGGAGACCTTCTTTAGGTGTGAGTGTCTTCCGTCTGCAAACAGGACATGAAAATGTGTCATCTTGACTGCCATTGCTGGTGACATGGAGCTGCAGACATCTGAGACAAAATGTGTGGTGACATGGCAGAACCCTGGGGTCTTTATATTCCTCCAGACAGATGTGACATGTCACAAAACTGCCAGAAATATCTTTCTCTACGCCCCCAGTAGCCATCTTGGATTTTGCCAGTCTGATGATTTAAGTTGACTGTTTCAGTTATGAAAATACTGCAACAATGTATAAAAATACAGCAACAATGTATCAGTCTGAGAGTACTGTATCAATGTTTCAGAATACTGCATCAATATATCAGAGTACTGCAACAATGTATCAAACTGTTCCTTGATTGATTTCATCAGCACTTACTGTATGAGGAAGTTGTCTTTTCAAGTATTGGAAAATTTCTAGCTTTTGATTCTGTTGCACATGTGCCATGACCTCGGACTTTGATAAGAAAAGTTCATTGGAATGTGCACACAGCCAAAGTGTCACTTATGTTTACAGGCTATCATGTTTAAAAAAAGTGTGCAATTTAGATTCAAAATCTTTTTATAAATAAACAATAGGCCCTAATTAATTAAGTAATTAATTCCGTGTTAGTATTTTAACTCCTATAATTCTTCATATTGATCAAGGTTGAACTGCTTTCAAAGTTCAGCTTATCACATTCAGTTCTAATGAACACTCAGAGCCCCTCTGTTAGGGGTTGTATCTATTTGCAGTGTGACTTTTATATCTATGTAGGCCACTTAGGCCATAGTGTTACACAGCCCAGCCTGAAGTTGACTTAGGATTGATCAATAACTTTGGTATCAGGACAATTTCCCCCCGGACTATTCTTCCCCCCGAACCCCCCCCCCCTCCCAGGACAATCCCCCCCCCCGGACGATTCCCCCCGAATAATATATATTTATATACAAATATAAAGTAAAGAGTACAAAGTTTAAATATTTTCATCCATTTTCTGAATATTTCTTAGTGTGATGATGCAACTGGAGGATAAATAATAATAATTTCATTAAACAAATTACTTTTATGTAGTTCAAGTACATAAAATTTTCAAGATCGAAGTACGGAACATTTTATTAAAAATCTGATCAAAGTATATCTCCAGGTTAAGGAGGGTAAACTGATGTTCTCATTCATCCAGGTAGCCCTTTGATGAATTAACTGTTACTTTTAATTGCTTTATTCCCCCCCCCCCCCCCCCCCTTGATTGAGTAAGTCTTGCATCAAGGTGCACCTCTAAATAGAGGTGGGGTAAACAGATTTTCTCGCTTATCCAGGTATCCCTTTGACTATTTGTCACTTTTAGTTGCTTGACCACTACCCACCACCCACCACACTAAAAATATTCATAAAATATCTGTTAACCTGTTCATCTGTTTACCCCACCTTTACCTGAAGGATAGGTGGTTATACTTTGATTAGATATTTAATAAATCTTTCTGTACTTATACTCAATGAAAAAGGAATTTGTTATAAAATAATTTGTTTCATGATGAAGTTGTATTTTCACACTTAAAATATCAATAAAAAGGAAGAAATGTTTTTAGCTTTACACTTTCTACTTTATATTTGTATATGAATATATATTTCTTGGGGGGGAATTGTCCTGGGAGGGAATTGTCTGGGGGGCAATTGTCCGGTGGGAATAGTCCGGGGGGGAATTGTCCTAGAATCATAACTTTAAAGTTACATATAATGTCAAATCTTTGTTGCTAAACCAAACCAAACCCCACTACATACATTCAAATAGCACATTTTAACATAGAAGCAAGTTATTTGTATTGCCCCTACATGTACCAAGTACTCTTCTAGACTAAAGGTAAAATTAGAGACCTCTGATGGATTTGGAGGATTTATTTGGCTACAGGCCTGCCTCCAAAATGTCCAAAAACCTTTCATGCTAAAGTTTGCTTTCTGTTTAGTTCACCAGTTTTCTGATAAATACTAGACATTGTCATCCCTTCCAGGCAGCTGTACTGTGTCAGTTTCTTGAGGAGGTGGACTACGTGACCGCCTTCCGCTCTTTCCAGGAAAAACACTGTCAGGATGCCATGGATGCTTACTATGACTGCATATGGGATGTCACCATTCTGGAGTTTCTGATTAGTATCCTTTGTCCAGTGTCCAGCATTAGCCACTGGTCTGAGACAGTTGACCAGTAGATTTGATATTGGACTAATATGAGCAGAGAAAAGATGAGTGTAAAGTTGCTTCAGATTTTTTTCCTTTATTTATTTATTTATTTATTTATTTATTTATTTATTTATTTTATTTGGTAATGGCTAATTTTGAAAGAAAAATTACAGTAGATACTCATTTGCTTCATTGCTTTATTGAATTAGTTAATCTGAATTTATTAGTGAAAATTTATTAATATGCCTGGCCCCCCGAAGTAGCTAAATGGTCTAGTTTCAGTTTATTAAAAATGAGCCCAGCCTATTACATCCCAGGCCTCATATTTCAGTGCATCTGGAGAGTATCATGTCAGATTTCAGATAGTTGTTATACTTTAAGGTATGGGGGATATGGTTTTCATATACATTGTTATAACATAAGTGCATTTTGCATCTACTAAAAAAAACCTTTAACAAGTGCTAGATCTACATGCCAAGAAGGGAGAACTTGAGAAGAAACAAAGGGCTGTAAGTATCTAATAATTTCTCAACCACTCTTAACTGGACAATTCTCTAATTTATATTCTTATTTATATTACCCAAAGTAATAGTTTATATTACTATTACCTAAATTTTATATTTTCTTATAAAATTTTTATATCTATATTTTTAGATATTTATAATTATATTACATAAAATCATAGTCAAAATTGTCACACATTTCTCAGATAGTTTATGGAATTGCATACATTTTTGCTATACATATTTCATCCTTTTTTCAGTTGCATGCCATTGGTCAGTTGGAATTGAACAGCAGCAATTCAGAGGATATTCTAGTTCAAGCCAAACAGAAAAGAATGCAGAAATTCCTCAGGACATTAGCCAAGCACTATCTATGAGAGAGTGGAAGTGTATGTGTGTGTTTGTGAGTGTGTGTGTGTGTGTGTTTGAGAGAGAGAGGGGGAGAGAGAGGAGGGGAGGGGAGCAGGCCATGTGCATTGTGTCAGAGAGAGAGAGCAGAATTACACTCCTAAGGAAAAAAAAAGCAAGTTAATAAAATGAAATGAATTAAGAGCATATAAGACTAGACAATAGCTTTCAAATAAAAAAGGCAAACCTCATCAACTGTTAAAAAAGTGTTAATAAGGCCACACTTTTTTAATTTTTATGGATGAGATCCTGTGCCCCCCCCCCCCCCATTTGATTGCATATAAAAATGGAAAGAAAGGTATTATAAAAATATGAAAAGTAAGGGTAACTATATTCACTATTACATATTAAAAAAGGGAATTTTTCAATATTAAATAATTAAATATATATTTTAAATCAATTTTACCACCCCATCAACTGAAAATTAACCTGATTGACTTTGTTATTCACCAGTAAATTGGGCTAGTTATTTTTGGTTCGGGCTAGTAAAGTTTGAGAGCCTGCTAGCCCGAAAGGGCTAGTAGTCTAAAAAGTTTTTGGCGCAGACTGTTTGTGGACAAAATATCTCACAATGGTCTTCACAAAATACAATTAAATTTCCAGGAATGGCAGTTATTGAATGTTTAGGAACAAAAAAAAGTCATTTAAAATTTGAACCCAGTCTGGGTCTCCTTAAAATCAAAGGATTTTACAGAATTTTTGTCTTCTTTTCTATGGCAGACATCTGTGCTCATGCTGCGCTTCCTAGTATTACATATGCTTGGAATCCATACAACACAACTTGTAAATTTGAGCTGAATTGAAATAAAAGAAATTCTCTCAGCATCCATATCTTTGTTGTAAGAAAAAATTAACTGTTTCAAATTTGTCTTTATTTAAAGGGAAATAATCCATGCCCATATAATTACATATCTTAGAAATAATTGAAATAGTTGACACCTTTAACAATTTGCATAAATACAAAAATGAAAAGAAAAACTGCTAAAGTGATTTATGGAAACAAGACTTGACAATGATCAGCAACATATTGTGTCTGTGCAATTTGTCTCCTTATAAATGAAAAATGTGATAATAAACCAAGCAGAGCAGTGTAATGTAAAATACCATATTCAGTACAGGAACAAGACTACGGTATGTAGTTATTGAAGGTGGTGTGATAGTATATCATATCACAATAATATAATGTTCCCTATATTTCCCCAGTGGAAGGTATCCAGAGATATTCAGCGTGGTTTTGACAGCTTGGTGTCATGTCTAGACCAGGTGTATGGATATATATGTTTAGTCAAGGCTAAACAGTGCACTCAGATGAAGGTGAGGAAAAAAAGATTCTGAAGTTTGAGCGAATTTTTATGTACAGACACAGATGTGTCTGTACATATAGCCATCATCTGCGTCTGTCGTCGCCGTCGTCGCCGTGCACTTTTACCGATAACACGATAAGTGGAATACTGTTTTNTACTCAGATGAAGGTGAGCGAAAAAAAGATTCTGAAGTTTGAGCGAAATTTTTTTATATCTCACTGTAATGTTAAGACTTCAACCCCAAGTTATGAAACAAAATTAAAAAATGCGCAATCTCGCGGAATCCATCATGCTGTATGATAAGGTAGAATCAAAAGTTGACAACATTATCATCGAAAAGGTGCATAATGTTGATGCAGTATATTGTTATTCTTCAAATGCAATTTGTTCATAAAAAACCCGTGAAGCAAACTTTATTGTAAAACAAACACCTATTATATATTCAGATGTTTCAGTCGGCACATGATCTTCTGTTGGCATCGGATGCCTCAGTGAAGGACCTGTCTTACAAATTGTCCAAATTAATTCGCTGGGAGATACTACAGGTGGACATCCAGCTGTTCCAGCAAGCAGATGGCTTTCTGGAGAGTTCCACGGTTCAGGACATCATGAAGAGGACCAAGACCTGCATCACCTCATTAAGACTGGACTCCGGTAATTTTGGAGGACATTTTGGGTTTTTATTGAAAGTATTTCTTTGATGATACTTTCTTGTTCTGGATATTTTAAGTTTAAGTACTTTTGTTATTTAATTTATTCCATGTTATTTAGATTTTTCTCTAATCATGGCAGGGGATTTTGAATTTTTCTTGAGACTTTTTATTATTTTATTATTATGTTTCTTTAGTTAGATTTTCTTTTAATATACTTATTGAGTCATAATATTTACTAGACTAAGAACCAAAATAAATAATTCAAAAACAGATAAACCAATGTATCTGTGTCCATGTAACCAGCAATTCATTTCCTAAGCCCTGTCTATAAATAAATGAATATTTCAGACATGTCCCCCAGCAGTGATATTGTGGGGCACTGTGTGGCTTTCCTTCTCAACATCAAAGACTGGGATTATTTGGGGAACTTGGATAACACCAACAGTGGATATATAGAGGTGGGTGTGGTCTTTGTAATACACCAACAGTGGATATATAGAGGTGGGTGTGGTCTTTGTAATACACCAACAGTGGATATATAGAGGTGGGTGTGGTATTTGTAGTGCATCCTTTTCTGAGGTTTTTGGAAAATACTTTTCTCTTCTAAAACTTGAACCCTTCCAGTTATTTTGACAATAGATTTGAGTTTCCACAGAAATAGACTTTTGAAAACTTTTTTTTTAGATTTATCAGAAAGGTGCTTTTTTGTGTGTATATGTATTGATGAAAGCCAAGGTAATTGACATTCTGATCATTAAAAATAAAATAACTTTTTGCAATATTCTTATCTTTATTTAAGGTAATTAAATAAATTAAAATGTTTTCCTGTCAATTTTTTTTAGTTTGGGCGTCTGCTGTCCCTGCTGTGTAAAGAACTGCCCAATATGAAGGAGAGCAGGAAAGCTGCTAGGGAGGTCTGGGAGGCAGGTGAGTAGAAAATAGATCAATTTGACAATGCTGAACATTGAAGTGCTGCAGTATCTTTGTACTGTATCAGACACAACTATAGGGAATCCTTGTTTTTTAACTTCTCTTTTTTTTCTTTTTTTAAAGGGAAATATCCAGGTTAATATGGTATACCAATGGTAAATATCTAGGTATGACTTAGCAAAGTCAATTGTGACAATTCAGTAGGGGGAAACAAACCTGTTGAATGTCATTTATGAGATGAAAACACAATTTCATATTTATGTGGAAACTTCTTTTAACAAATTTGGTTGAAACATCAGTTCTCGAAGAGAAACGTTAGGGAAGGTTTATCATACAAATTTAAGTTAACCAATTTTTTTGTTCCAGTTTTGCAGATATTCACAACCACTGAGCAGCAGAAACGTAGCAGCAGTGGTGCTCCCAGTTCGATGAAAAGAGAATCCAACTTGGGCCTTATATCTAGGGCACATTTTGTTCAGTTCATACAGAGAATTAAGGTATTGGGTGGACATTAATTAATCCACCTGGATTAGTTTTTTTACATGCATTGTTATCTCCTTGTTATATTAGGTGTCTCATCTTGGAATTACCAGGTCATTTTGGAGAAAAAGGCAGGATATGGGATTGTAATGAGTACAGTGATAATCTTGTCTAAAAACAGAATTATGTTACACTCTTGGAAAAAAAAATCATAAAGTTTTCCTACAGATTATCAGTTCTGTGATTCCCATAAGTTAAACTAAGCTAAAGTGCTATATTCAATCAGATGAGGCATCCTTCAAAACACTGTGCAGAATTTGACCTGATACCAGTGAAAGAGGCATACATATGAATTAGCATACAAATAAATATTTATATATGTACAACAAATTATGTTACGAGGTCTCACAGTATTTAACATTATGTGAATATGAGTGTATGACATAGAAATAGAACAATAATTATTTAAAAAATAAGAAGATAAGTTTATACAATCAATAATTTCAGGATCCTGTAGTGCTCTCTGCTCTGGTGTCTTGTGTGACAAAGTTATATAATCTACTCAAGGTAAGGACTTGTTCTACTTACTAATTGTTTGAAAACTGATAATTAGTGTTAGATGGGGCAGAAACAATGTTTCAATGTTGAAAAACAAAAACTTTGATTTCTAGTTGTTTTATTGAGATTAATTTGTTTAATAATTTATTTATTAATTTAATATATGTGACTCATAGTTATTCATTAATTATTATTTGTAGTTATTATTTTTTTTATTGAAGGAATAATTTTCATAATTTTCCTTATTTATTTATTTATTTAAAAGATTATCTCTTAGCAAGTTCAGTAGATATTGAATGGAATTATGAAAGATGTTTCAATCTCAGACAGTATTGTTTTAACAAAATCATATAATTCCAGAATGACCTAACCAGTGAGATCTCCAGTGACTATGTCACCATGTGGCCCACGGCTTTGGGAAGGTAAGTGACACGTGACTGGAGGTATTGCAATCGACTGTTTGTGCGTGGGGGGTATACTAATCACCTTGTCTGTAGTGTTTTAGTACTCACCCTCTGTCGTGGCTGCAGATTATTAATGTGCATATTTGAGCAGAGAATCATGTCATGATTTAGCCGTAGACGTATCTTTGAATATTGAGTGAAAAAACAATCTGTAATCCTGGTAGAAGGTTATGTTTTAGAGCTTTGGGTGCAATGCTAATCTGCAACATTGACCTTAGTTCTAAAAATATTGTCTTGTAGATTTTTTGTCATTGGAAGAGTAAGAATTGGCAGATTTGTCACTGACTTCAAGCCCATAGATAGTGATCCTAAAAAAATCATAAACAAAAATAACATAACAATAAACCTCAAATTTGTGCACAATAATTTTTTAATTAATTTTGGTCAAAACTGTGTGCATTTATCTTGTAGCTCAAGTCAGTTGAACCTCCCGGCAGTGTCAGATGCAGTGACAACATTGATGCAGCATGCTGTCTTTGTGAATCCAACACAACCTTCTTGGCTCAAGACGCAGGCAGATTTACATTTTGGTGAGAGTTTTGTCGATGCTTGTCTTTTTCAATTAATTGTGTCTGTATAATCAGAATTTTATCTCTTTCATCCAAAACTGAAACTTATGACAAAAATTATGCCATCTGAATTAATTTTGTAGTTAAATTAATTTGAAAGGTTATGAAATCATGCTTAATTAGTAAATACTATTTATCTAATATTACATTTGTATACTCGATTAAGAGTACAAAACATTTGCGGAACACCCCATTAACTTTTTTCTTCATAATGTCAAAATCATCTCTGCAGCAGTTTAATTCCAATCAAACTATATATATTCAGTGAAGTATTTCAATCATTCCCAGCACATGCCCAGTATTCTGGTGCCATGCACTGTTACATGGAGGCAGCCTTGGTGGCGTCAGACTATTTCTCCCGTCCTGTCCCCAAGACCATCCTTGATGACCAGGTGTACAAGAGGCTCATCAAGAGCTGCAACTATCTCCAGTGTTACACCCAGGTAGGGGGCTTTAATAGGACAGTTTTTAAAATTCAGGATGGAAAAAAAAACAACTAATTAAAAGCTGAATTAAAAACCCACATTATAATACTCAATTCTATAGACAAAAAATTCTATAGATAATATCTTAATATCCTCTCTTCTTGACTGTGCTATTTCTGCTTCCATTTTGAAAGCTAAAATCTTTCCTTGCCAATTACAGTTTAATTGTAACTTAATTCCTCTCTTACATGCTGTAAGTGAAACTCTGATAATGATCTGTTCTCTTACTTCTCGCTTCCTTTACAGGAAAAAAAAAGCTTTTTTTTTTTTCTCAAACCACAACACTCCATTAAATTACCTACACTCAAGGATAATATTGTATTATTTAACATTTTTGAAATAATTCTAAGCATGATCAAAACAATCCTTTACATAACTTAAACTAGAGCGCAGACCTCCGCCAAGGCAGTGATTTTTAATATTAATGATTATTGATTATTTATTGATCCAGATCACCACCAAAAACTAATCATCTCTTCTTCGGCCCACTTCTGACAGTTCCTGAAAATTTCATCAAAATTGCTCCATAACTTTTTGAGTTATGGTGATGACAAACAAACAGGGGTGAAAACATAACCACCTTGGCGGAGGTAACAACACTGAAATCACAGTGCCACACATGTACATGTACAAGAGTTTGAAGTGAAAATATCTAGGTATTATGTACAAGTCTCTCTTGAACTTAGTTTTGAAGATATCACTGCACATAAACAAACATAAACACTGAAATCACTATATCTTACATGCACAATAGTTTAAAGTGGAAATTTCTAGGTATTTCATACAATAGTTACAATAATTGAGACTGCACATTTTACTGAAATTTGATATTTTAACAATACTTTAAGCATGCTGACCTATATTTTTTGTTATTTTTCAATTATCTGCATATAACATTACAATCTATGTACACGTAATGCAAAGCTGATTAACATAGCACATACCTTTCACATCTACTTTGATTTTAACTTTAATTTATTCTATCATCTACAACATCAACTGCATATAGAAAAACCCAAAATTTCAAAAAAGTTGCCCATGGCTAAAAAGTTTTTTTGATAATTATTTCTAAGATATGTACAAATTAAAATCTGAGTAAAAACATAACAACACAGACCCGTGCACAAGAGAGTAGCTTGAATAAATCCACTCTGCTACCCTGTTTATCTGTTCAAGTTGATCAGTATATGAAGATAATTATTACCTCAAGTTTATATATAATAGTTTATATCATAACATATGCACAGAATACATTGTAAGACCAGGGATATATGGGTGGATAGTTCCCCAGTATCTAGTATATGTATTTGATCACTTTACCATCTTCAACTGTTACAATGTGTCCCTGATGATCCACCAGGAATACATAGCCACTCATCGGTTGCCACACACCTGTGATGTGATAAATAAATGTGCCATCAGATTTGATCTTCACAATCCTCCCTGTGTCTCCAATGTAGATGTCACCATTGTTGTCAGTACAGACACAAGATGGATGTGTTAACTGACCAATACCAGTGCCTGGGATGTCTGCTTTGCCGTAGATGAATTTCTTTTCCCCTTCACTGTTCACCCCCAATAAACAGTGATTGCCAGGAAAAAGTAGGAACACATTCTTCTCCTTGTCAACTGCCATATCTGATGGTGCTTTACCTTGCATCCATGTGTACTTGTAAATAGGGACATGAAATTCACCACTATACTCATGGGTTAGATATTTCACTTTGAAATATTTTTGTCCTAAAACACATGCAAAATCTCCACTTGAGGCAACTAGAACATGTTCAGGGAAAGTATTTTGGGGGGAATCAGATTGAGTACTAGTAAGTGAAAATTCAATAACTTGACTTTGATATGGGGAATCTGGAGGGTAAGATACAAGCAGACTGGTGTCTTTCACTACAGCCAATTTATGGGGTTTCAAGTTTTTCATCTGGAGGTCAAAATGCTTCAGAAATTTCCCCTTTGTTGTGTAGGTTTCTACCTGATTATGTGCAGAATCCAGGGCAAAGATGTCTCCGGTGATGCTTTGGGCTATACTTGTGTACGAACAATCTTTAAATGATTTACAATGTTCCAGCTGATACTCTGAGACTTTCTGTGCTCTTCTATTGGTCCAACTGCTGCCCCATTTCTCAATGATTAACCAATTTCTTTTGGCCAGGGGCTCATCAGTGGTTCTCTCAGATTCTGCACCATTATATTTCTGAAGTGTTCCCATCAAGGTCCTGATGTCCTCTTCTTTTGGGGTGCTCTCATGGTAGAGAACTTTCAGGGGATCTCGAAGTCGAGGATTAGCATTGCTGAGTTGCATCTCTGCATACTGCTTCTTGAGCAATTCCACTTGGTTTGATTGTATGTTCCTGCTTTGCTGGATGTTGATGGCTTCTGAGTACATCTCCTCTGTAAGCTTGTGTTGTCTGTTGACTGTATTTGTGTATTTTGCTAGTTCTTTTAGCTTTTCTTTCAACAAATCATCAGTTTCTTTGATTAATTCTTCGCATCGGGCATCAGTGAGGACCTTGATTTGATGTGCCTGTTGTTTGATTCTCTGGTGGATTTCCCTCCTGTTGAACATATATTTGATCTTTTCTTCTTCACAAGTTTTTAATTCTTCTTTCAGTTTTAACACAGATTGACTAAACTGTGAAACAATTGCAGTAAGCTCCTCTGAAAATGGTGTAGAATTGCCCTGATCTTCAATAGCCATGTACTGTATTGGACCTTCTTTAACAACCTCCAGTGTGTGACATTCATTGAGGTCATCGTGGAAACTTTTGCAGCAGTCACATATGTACTGGTGACACTCTTGACAGTGATATGTGCTGCTGTCACCACCACACAGGTCACATGACTTGACGTCTGCCTTGGTGCTCTGAACTTCTGCCATAAACAAATTGTGAGGAAGTTGTTGGAGACCACCTTTAGGTGTAAGTGTCTTCCGTCTGCAAACAGGACATGAAAATGTGTCATTATGACTGCCATTGCTGGTGACATGGAGCTGCAGACATCTGAGACAAAATGTGTGGTGACATGGCAGAACCCTGGGGTCTTTATATTCCTCCAGACAGATGTGACATGTCACAAAACTGCCAGAAATATCTTCCTCTCCGCCCCCAGTAGCCATCTTGGATATTCTTAGTCTGATGATTCAAGTTGACTGTTTCAATGTAAGAAAATACTGCAACAATTTAGGGAAATACTGCAACAATGTATCAGAGTACTGTATCAATGTTTCAGAATATCAGAATACTGCATCAATGTATCAAACTGTTTGATTACATCAGCATTTACTGTATGAGGAAATAGTATTTCCAGATGTTAGAAAATTTCCAGCTTTCGTTTCTGTTGCACATGTGCCATGACCTCAAGCTTTGAGAAGAAAAGTTCATTGGAACATACGTGCAGTGAAAGTTTACAGGCTCTCATCTGAAAATGGTGTAAAATATAGTAAAGTCCTCAGTGATATAACTCCTGTAAATCTACAGGTAATTGTCAGATTAAGCTGCATATTTATCATCTTATCACATTCAGTTCTCACTTGACCTCTGTCTTAGGGGTCAACTCTATTTACAGTGTGATTTCTATTTATATCTATGTGGGCCACTAAGGTCATAGAGTTACACAGTACAGCCTGAAGTCAGTCAGCTAAATCTTTGTCACTTAATTAACCAAATCAAATGCCACTATATACATTCAAATAGCACATTAAAACATGTAAGCATTTGTACTGCCTGTACTAACATTTACTATTTACATAACATGGATTTTTTTGTAACAGGCCTGTCTAAAAAGCTTTTTATGTTAAAATTTGCTTTCTGTTCAATTCACCAGTATTCTGATAAATACCAGACATGTCATGATTACTTTTAGGAGTCAATACTGTGTCAATATAAACATTACGTACGTTCCATTGCAGGACAGATTTATTCAATTTTAAAAGTTTTTCAAGTTAATTCACCAGTTTTCTGATAAATACTAGACATTGTCATCTCTTCCAGGCAGCTGTACTGTGTCAGGTTCTTGAGGAGGTGGACTACGTGACCGCCTTCCGCTCCTTCCAGGAAAAACACTGTCAGGATGCCATGGATGCTTACTATGACTGTATATGGGATGTCACCATTCTGGAGTTTCTGATTAGTATCCTTTGTCCAGTGTCCAGCATTAACCACTGGTCTGAGGCAGTTGACCAGTAGATTTGATATTGAACTAATATGAGCAAAGAAAAGATAACCGTGAAGTTGCTTCAGATTTTTTTCCATTTTTTTAAATTTTATTTATTTATTATTATTTTTTTTAATTAATTTGTTAAAATTTCTTAATTTGCCTGTCCTCTCAAAGTAGCTAAATGGTCTTTAGTTTCAGTTATTTTATTGAAAATGAACCCAGTCTGTTACAGGGATCATATCACAGGCTTCATATTTCAGTGCAGCTTGAGCTTATCATATCAGATTTCAAATAATTTAAGGTATGGGGAATATGGTTTTCATATACATTGTTATAACATAAGTGCATTTTGCATCTATTAAAAAACCTTTAACAAGTGCTAGATCTTCATGCCAAGAAGGGAGAACTTGAGAAGAAACAAAGAGCTGTAAGTAACTTACCATTTCTAAACCCCTCTTAACTGGACAAGTCTCTAATTTATATTTTTATTTATATTACCCAATGTAAAAGTTTATATTACGATTACCTTAAGTTTTATATTTTGTAATAAAATTTATATGTATTTTTTAGGTATTTATGATTATATTATAAAAAATCATAGTTAAAATTGTCACATTATATTACCCAAAGTCATAGTTTATATTACCATTACCAAAATTTTATATTTTCTTATAAAATATTTATTCTTTTTTAGATATTTATAATTATATTACGTAAAGTCATAGTTAAAATTGTCACACATTTCTCAGATAGTTTGCGCAATTTCATACATTTTTGTGATACATATTTCATCCTTTTTTTTTTTTTTTCAGTTGCATGCCATTGGTCAGTTGGAATTGAACAGCAGCAATTCAGAGGATATTCTAGTTCTAGCCAAACAGAAAAGAATGCAGAAATTCCTCAGGACATTAGCCAAGCACTATCTATGAGAGAGAGCAGTGNTAAATTAGCGTTGACTGACTGTGCTATAATAAGCATACATTATTGCATCAAAATTGACAAAATGACCTATTTTGCATCTTTTTTTTTCTGTTTTTTGTCTGTACATTTGACAGCTTTGCTGCCTTGTTTTATATCTCACTGTAATGTTAAGACTTCAACCCCAAGTTATGAAACAAAATCAAAAGTTGACAACATTATCATTGAAAAGGTGCATAATGTTGATGCAGTATATTGTTATTCTTCAAATGCAATTTGTTCATAAAAAACCCGTGAACTTGAAGCAAACTTTATTGTAAAACAAACACCTATTATATATTCAGATGTTTCAGTCGGCACATGATCTTCTGTTGGCGTCAGATGCCTCAGTGAAGGACCTGTCTTACAAATTGTCCAAATTAATTTGCTGGGAGATACTACAGGTGGACATTCAGCTGTTCCAGCAAGCAGACGGCTTTCTGGAGAGTTCCACGGTTCAAGACATCATGAAGAGGACCAAGACCTGCATCACCTCATTTAGACTGGACTCTGGTAATTTTGCCGGACATTTTGGGTTTTTATTGTAAGTATTTCTTTGATGATACTTTCTTGTTCTGGATATTTTAAGTTTAAGTACTTTTGTTATTTAATTTATTCTATGTTATTTAGATTTTTCTCTCATCATGGCAGGGGATTTTAAATTTTTCTTGAGACTTTTTATTATTGTATCATTATATTTCTTTGGTAAGATTCTCTTTTAATATACTTATTGAGTCATGATATTTACTAGACTAAGAACCAAAATGAATAATTCAAAAACAGAGACTAAAATGCAAATTTTTCAACCAATGTATCTGTGTCCATGTATCCAGCAATTCATTTACTAAGCCCTGTCTATAAATAAATAAATATTCCAGACATGTCCCCCAGCAGTGATATTGTGGGGCACTGTGTGGCTTTCCTTCTCAACATCAAAGACTGGGATTATTTGGGGAACTTGGAGAACACCAACAGTGGATATGTAGAGGTGGGTGTGGTCTTTGTAATACACCAACAGTGGATATATAGAGGTGGGTGTGGTCTTTGTAATACACCAACAGTGGATATATAGAGGTGGGTGTGGTCTTTGTAGTGCATCCTTTTCTGAGGTTTTTGGAAAATACTTTTCTGTTCTAAAACTAAATATATATATATTGATGAAAGCTAAGGTAATTGACATTCTGATAATTAAAAATAAAATCACTTTTTGCAATATTCTTATCTTGATTTAAGGTAATTAAATAAATGAAAATGTTTTCCTGTCATATTTTTTAGTTTGGTCGTCTGCTGTCCCTGCTGTGTAAAGAACTACCCAATATGAAGGAGAGCAGGAAAGCTGCCAGGGAGGTCTGGGAGGTGAGTAGAAAATAGATCAATTTGACAATGCTGAACGGCTGCAGTATCTTTGTACTGTACCAGACACTACTATGGGGAATCCTTTTTTTTTTTTTAATTTTTATGTTTTAAAAGGGAAAGATCCAGTTTAATATGGCATACCAATGGTAAATATTGAGGTAAAACTTGGCAAAGTCAATTTTGACAATTCAGTAGGTGGAAGCAAACCTGTTGAATGTCATTCATGGGATGAAAACACAATTTAATATTTATGTGGAAATTTCTCTTAACAAATTTTGTTGAAACATCAATTCTCGGACAGAAACATTAGGGAAGGTTAATCATACAAATTTAAGTTAACCAATTTTTTTTTTGTTCCAGTTTTGCAGATATTCACAACCACTGAGCAGCAGAAACGTAGCAGCAGTGGTGCCCCCAGTTCGATGAAAAGAGAATCCAACTTGGGCCTTATATCTAGGGCACATTTTGTTCAGTTCATACAGAGAATTAAGGTATTGGGTTGACATTAATTAATCCACCTGGATCAGTTTTTTTCATACATTGTTTATGTCCTTTTTACATTTGAAAGTGTCTTATCTTGGAATAACCAGGTCATTTTGTAGAGAAGGGCAGGATATGGGATTGTAATGAGTATAGTGGACTAAAAATGGAAGTCTGTGAAACTCCCGAAAAAATGATAAGGTATTTCTACAGAACGTCAGTTCTGTGTGTAGCATTCGTTCAAAGTGACAGAAAATGCATCATTCAACCACACGAGACATTATCGTCCTTCAAAACACTAGGCAGAATTTGACTTTTAACTTCTTATACCAGTGAAAGAGGCATTCGGTAAATTAGTGTATAAATAAATATGTATATTTGTACAACAAACAATGTTATGAGAGCTCACAATATCAACATTTAACAATATATTGTAAATATGAGTATATGACTTTGTTAAATAGAACAATGTGTAAGTCGTAACCTATCAGTAGTAATAATAGTAAGATAGTTTACTCAAGTTTATCAATATTTTCAGGATCCTGTAGTGCTCTCTGCACTGGTGTCTTGTGTGACAAAGTTATACAATCTACTCAAGGTAAGGATTTGTTCTGGTTCTTATTGTTTGAAAACTGTTTTTTGCAGCGTTCGAGAGGGCAGAAACAGTGTTACATTGATTAGTTGAAAAACAATAACTTTGATTTGCAGTTTTCTTAGATTTATTTATTTAATAATTTATTGATTGATTCATTTAATATATGTGATTCCTTCAGTTATTCATTAATTGCTATGATTTGTTAATATTATTTCTTGATATTTAAGGATTTATATCCATAGTTTTCTTTTTTTATTTGTGTACTTAAACGTTTCCCTCAGTAAGTTCAGCAAATATTGAAAGGAATTATGAAAGATGTTTCAATCTCAAACAGTATTGTCTTAACAATATCATATAATTCCAGAATGACCTAACCAGTGAGATCTCCAGTGACTATGTCATCATGTGGCCTACGGCTTTGGGAAGGTGAGTGACACGTGACAGGAGGTATTGCAATCGAGGTTTTGTGTAAGAGGGGTTTTCAAATTTCTACCCTTGGACATAGTGTTTAAGCAGGGTTTTCAATTACGACGTCCTCATATCTAAATACGCAATGAAATTCCACGGGATGCAAAATATGCAACCCTTCTGCGTCCAAGGGACGCAACTAATGAAAAGTAAGAAATCGAAAACATTGTTTCACAATATAAAACCTGCATGCATACTAAAAGTTGGTAGCGATCTCCATAATACTGTTAGTTTGCCATGTTTACGAGAGCAACGAAGTTGATTTAAATCGTAAACTGCCATTTATGAAAATGACGCATGATAAGTTAGGTCATTTGCATAGCTCCGCCAGTTTGAGCTCGATTTAGCAAATAATATGTACGCAATGAGTTGCGGTGGCGCCAGCTACACGTGCGTGACTAGACAACGTGTGTTCAACACCTCGAGATTTGTTAGGATTTTTTGAAAAAATCATCGATAAATGCTTATAGTAAATTAGTACATACATACAAAGGGCTTAAAAGACATCAACTTTCATTCATACATGTGTACCGTTACCGAATGAATAAGTAATTAAACCACTCTCTAGACAGCTGCATCGTTTTGTGTGCGGCGACATAGGGAGAATCTAGTTGACAACGTTACTTTTAAAATTTTTAATCGACACATTTAGAGTTTATTTTTCGAAGTTATGTACAAAACAAAGTCAAATTCAATTTTAACTAAATTCCAAATCTTGATAATAAAATTTAGATTGTCCATCAAGTGAAAACATACTCGTCCCACACCTGTAAATAGCCGCTCCTGTTTCGAGCCTCGTTCGAAGGAATTAAAAAGCATGGTGCAAGCGACGCTTGAAATCAAGTCGAAAATAAGACGTTTTCAGCAAAGTTGGTTGCATGACACAGCGTTCAAGGCGTGGCTGTTTGTGGAAGGGGAACCTGGCAGGGAGAAAATGAAGTGTAGTGTATGTGTGCGAGGAAAGAAGAACAACGTATTTACTTTGCCGCCAGGGAGCACCGACTACCAGCGCTCATCACTCCTGAGGCACATGATCTCTCAGAGTCACAAACCAGTGGTAAAGGCCATAAAAGGTAGAGAGACATTTCAAAAGGCAATGAAAAACTCTGAAAAAACATGTGATGATGGCTTAACACATCGATTAAGAACTGTTAATTTTCTATCATCTAAAAACCTAGCATTAAACTTATATGGTGACTTGTGCACTCTACAGAATATGCATGGACATTACACGTCAGCGGGAACGGTAACAGAGATTGTTTTTTATGTCTCATTGTTTGATAATCAGGGTGTCTTTGTTCTTAGCTTTTTTCGTTTGCTATTTTCAATGATTAGGGTTATTTTTGGTCAGGCTTTTGTTTCAATAGGTATCTTAATACTTACCTTGATTAGAGAAATGCAAGCTAAGTTATTAATTTTTTTTTTCAGATGGATTCTTTGAAGAACTAGAAAACAATTTGGACAAAAGATTTCCTTTGGCAAGCATGACAACTCGAATGCCTTTGATGTCCTGTTGCACAGTTTGACTATCTACTCAAGCCAAAGCCCATTTCAGAGCCTTGAGGCAGAGGCGACAATGACTTTCATGCAATGCATAAGAGTAAGTGAAAACTCTGAAGACTTGAATAAAAACTTTGAAGACTTATATGTGTTGCTTATCTTTTATTACAGATATTTGGATTTTACATTTTCTAGGATTGTGACAAGTGGGACTCTAAATTTTTCTCTGTGGACTCAGTTTTTCTGACTTTACTGAGGCCCTGGGACTCTACTTTTAAAAATATTATTGAGAACACTGTTTAAGTACCCGCCCTTTATCAGGGCCTCATATAATTAATGTGCTATTTTGACCAGCGAATCCTGTCATGATTTAGCCAGAGACATATTATATCATAATTAATGAAAAAACAATCTGTGACCCTGGTAGAGGGTGTTGTCTGCAACATTGACCATAGTTCTGAAAATATTGTCTTGTAGATTTGTCATTGGAGGAGTTAGAATTGACACATTTGTCACTGACTTCAAGTCAGGATGGTGATCCTAAAAAGAAACAAATAAAAATAACATGACAATAAACCTCTAATTTGTAAACAAGCATTTTAAAATCCATTTTGATCAAAACTGTGTGCATTTATCTTGTAGCTCAAGTCAGTTGAACCTCCTGGCAGTGTCAGATGCAGTGACAACACTAATGCAGCATACTCTCTGTGTGAATCCAACACAACCCTCTTGGCTCAAGACACAGGCAGATTTACATTTTGGTAAGAGTATGGTTGGTGCTTGTCTTTTTCAATTACTTTTTGACAATTGTGTTTGTATAATTAGAACCTATCTCTTTCATCCAAAACTGCAACTTATGACAACAAAAATTATGCCATCTGAATAAATTTTGTAGCAATATTAATTAGAAAGGTTATGGAATTATGCTTTATTACTAATTAAAAAAAATATTACTTTTTATATGCTCAGTTAAGAGTGTAAAACATTTGCGGAACACCCCATTAACGTTTTTCTTCATAAAAATCATTTCTGTAGCAGTTTGTTTCCAATCAACATTTATATATTCAGTGAAGTATTTGAATCATTCCCAGCACATGCCCAGTATTCTGGTGCTATGCACTGTTACATGGAGGCAGCCTTGGTGGCGTCAGACTATTTCTCCCGTCCTGTCCCCAAGACCATCCTTGATGACCAGGTGTACAAGAGACTCATCAAGAGCTGCAACTATCTCCAGTGTTACACCCAGGTAGGGGGCATTGATAGGACAGTTTGTTAGGATTGAGAGGGAAAAAAAAGAAAAAAACAAATAATTAAAAGCTGAATTAAAGCCACACTTTTAATACTTGTTTCTATAGACAAAGAATTCTGTAGAATATATTTTAATATCCTCTCTTCTTGACTGTATTATTTCTGTGTTATTTCTGCTTCTATTTTGAAAGCTAAAATCTTTCTTTGCCATTTACAGATTAATTGTAACTTCCTTTCTTACATGCTGTAAGTAAAACTCTGATCTGTTCTCTTACTTCTTAGAACCTTTACAGAGAAAAGGAATTTTTTTCATACAAACCACTTCACACAGTTAATTTACCTGAAATAATTGTAATCTTGATCAAAGCAAAGCTTTACATAACTAAAACAACACTTTATAAACACTGAAATCAGAATGCCACACATGTACAAGAGTTTGAAGTGGAAATATTTAGGTATTATGTACAAGTCTTTCTTGAACTTAGTCTTGAAAATATCACTGCACATAAAAAACATAAACGCTGAAACCACTGTATCTTACGTGTACAAGAGTTGAATGCAGAAATTTCTATATATTTCATACAATAAACATTTTACTGAAATATGATAGTGTAACAATATTCTAAACATGCTAATATATATTTATCATTTTTAAACATTTGTACATAACATCATAATCTATGTACACATAATGCAAAGTTAACTGAATCAGTTTATACCTTTGGCATCTACTTTGATTCTAACTTTTATTCCATCATCAACAACATCAACTGCGCATAGAAAAACTCAACTTTAAAGCAATAATAACTCTTCCTTTGAGATTCAAAATTCCGCAAGAAATACATTCTAAATAACACATGGAAATATATTATATTGCATTTCACCACTCAAACTGCTGTTATTGTAGTAAAACTAATAACTGTGCTTGTCACTAGGGCTTTTGGTGCCTTTCTTCCCGGTCGTCAAGGCATCTGTTGCCTAGGACTTTGGCATGTCACGCTGATTCTCGCGTTCATTCGAGACCAAATAACATTTGGTGGGATAAGATATAGCAGGCGCATGATGCAATCCTCAGACCTAAGTTGCAAGTTTTTGTACTGTGCATCGTATAACAAAAGGCCCAGAACTGCATGCATTGTAGCTATGAATGCATTTTGATCAATAAGACGATTATGTCGTATGAATCTAATTTTATTGTAATAAAGTGTTGTTGTTGTTATTGTCTGCTTTGCCGGCAGTTTTAAGTAGGTCATCAGAAAACCATGCTCGATATCGCGTGGCCATGCAATGTCAGAGAGGGCCCCGTCAGTTAAAATCTCTTAAGAGATTTTAACAAAAAACCAAACATTTAGGAAAAATTAATCTCTTAAGAGATTTTAACAAAAAACCAAACATTTAGGAAAAATCCCTAGACTAACTTTGAATGCAGGAATGGGGTCGTTGACCATTGCTAAGTACCGGAAAATTGCCATTTACTCCAGGAAAATCCAATTTTTGGCCAAAACGAAGAGTTATAATGACTTTAAAAATTTGTCTGCTGCTAAATAGTTTTTTTGATTACTATAATTTCTATGACATGTACAGATTAAAATGTGTGTAAATAGATAACATCACGGAACCATGTACAAGAGAGTAGCGTGAATAAATCAATTCTGCTACCCAGTTTATCTGTTCAAGTTGCTCCGTTTATGTAAGTTAATATAATAAATACAGCTGATATAATTGTTACACACAGAATACATTGTCAGTCAGTGCAAGATCAGGGATATATTAGGGTGGATTGTTCCCCAGTACCTAGTATATATATTTGATCACTTTACCATCTTCAACTGTTACAATTTGTCCCTGATGATCCACCAGGAATACATAGCCACTCACTGGTTGACACACACCTGTGATGTGATAAATAAATGTGCCATCAGATTTGATCTTCACAATCCTCCCTGTGTCTCCAATGTAGATGTCACCATTGTTGTCAGTACAGACACAAGATGGATGTGTTAACTGACCAACACCAGTGCCTGGGATGTTTACTTTGCCGTAGGTGAATTTCTCTTTCCCTTCACTGTTCACCCCTAATAAACAGTGATGTCCAGGATAAAGTAAGAACACATTCTTCTCCTTGTTAACTGCCATATCTGAGAGGGCTTTACCTTGCATCCATGTGTACTTAGAACACAAATCAGATGAAATGTAAAGTATACCTTCATTTATATACTGCACTTTCCATCCATCTGTGAATGCTACATCATCTCCACATGAAGCAATGGGAACAGGCCTACCATATCCAGTGTTTCTATTTTTTAGGGGACCAAATAGTGGAAGAGAAAATTCAACAACTTGACTCATATTGTGACTTGCTGCTGAGTAAGCTACAACCAACCTGGTGTCTTCTATTACAGTTAATTTGTAGGGTTTCCCGTCTTTCAACCCAAGGTTAAAATGCTTCAGAAATTCCCCCTTTGTTGTATATGTTTCAATCCGATCATGTGCAGAATCCAGGACAAAGATGTCTCCAGTGCTGTTCTGGGCTATACTTGTGTATGAACAATCTTTAGATGTTTTACAATGCTTCAGCTGAAACTCTGAGACTTTCTCTGCTCTTCTTTTAGTCCAGTTGCTGCCCCATTTTTCAATGATTAACCGATTTCTTTTGGCTGGGGGGCTCATCCGTGGTTCTGTCAGATTCTACACCACGTGAGCTCTTAATTGTCCCCATCAAAGTCTTGACGTCATCAGCCTTTGGGGTGATTTCATGATAGAAAACTTTAAGGGGATCTCTAAGGCGAGGATCTGCATTGTTTTGTTGCATCTCTGAAAACTTGTTTGTGACCAATTTTAGTTGCTGTGTTTTTACTTTCTTATTTTGCTGGAGATTAAGTGCTTCTGAGTAAATTTCCTCAACTAATCTGTGATGATTTTTGACAGTATCTGTGTATTGCTCCAGTTGTGACAACTTTTCTGCCAACAATTCATCAGTTTCTTTGATTAACTCTTCACATCGGAGATCAGTGAGGATTTTAATTTGTTGTGCCTGATGTCTGACTCTCTGGTGGATTTCTTTCCTGTTGAATATATATTTGATTTTTTCTTCTTCACAAGTTTGCAATTCTTCTTTCAGTTTTACCACAGTTTGTCCAAACTGTGAAACAATGGCAGTGAGCTGGTTTGAAATTCCTTCATCTTCATGAACTTCTTCTATAGGGCCTTTTTTTTCATTCGTTAGTGTGTGTCCTTTATTGACCTTGTTGTGGAAATCTTTACATCTGTCACATATGTACTGGTGACACTGTTTACAGTAGTTTGTGCTGCTGTCACCACCACACAGGTCACATGACCCAGGTTCTGTCTTAATGTTCCCAACTGCTGCCATGATATGGAACAAAATGTCTGATTTTATCTGCAGTTACTCTATGAAGAAATACTGTCTAAAAATCCAGACTGCTCCTTCCTGTTGCCTAAATAAATGTCTGGCTGAGACGTATTTTCTCTTTGTTATCAAGACTATGCCTTTATTCCTTGACTATTTAAATGCATTCTAGAATTTCAAACTTTTGTTGAATTGCGCATGTGCTGCAACCTAAGTTTTCAGGACATGTTTACTTAGCACTGAATGGATGTTTAAATTACATTTACAGGGTCTGTTTTTCAATATTTTCAGCTGTATGAACATACATTGTATGGTGACTTACTAAGAAACCAGTTCACAAATAACAAAGTCATGAATGCTTGTTTACACTTTGTTATCAAGACTGCCTTTTGGCTGCCCAAATGTATTTTATAATTGATTGAACTAATTCAGTTCCACAGGTTTTGTGACCTCAGTATTGGGTCAGTCCGATTAAACTTTGTAGATGTCCATGGACCTGTTAGATGCCATGTCTCTTTACACTGTTAACTGTCATTTATCATTTATATACAGTAGTGTCTATGTGAGATTTATAGTGGGGCTATTTGGGTGAAATAAATCTATCCCATCTTGTTTTCACCTGCAATGCAGTTCTTCCACAGTAACACACTCTCTGTCCCTCTCTCTCTCTCTCTCTCTCTCTCTCTCTCTCTGCTGAATATGTTTAAAGGAGTTGGTGTATTAAGGACTGTATTTATGTCAACTATTTATAGCGGAGTTACAGTATTTAAGTTTAATATTTGTACTATGTGTTATCCCAAAAGTTCAAATATAATTTGTTCCAAACATTTCATGATTTCAGCACTTTATTTATAATTAATATAATAGTTTTTGTTTTTATTTCTCTTTTATTTTTTCTCTCTCATATTAAAAGAGAGAGGTTTTACAAATTTACTGAAAGTATCTGGTAGCAGAATGTAATGTGCAGTCATGTGATTAATGGAAAATTTGTGTCTAGTATAACTGTATAGATTGCATCAGAGCACAACTGTCACAATCTATATGTATCAACATATACTACAAATAAGATTGAGATCATTTCTGACTGCTCCTAATATGACTGTCACAATCTATCAGTATCTTGATGATGATGAATTTTTTAATGCAGTGATTCACTTTAATTTTTAGTTAATTGAGGTTAAGACTGTTTCTTATATTAAACACTATAATACTTTCTCTTTCAAATTTACCCATCCCTGGTGTTGAGTTGAGAATAGCTGAAATTGTCAAGAATTTTTTTCAACTGCATCTCACTAAGACACAACTGAACCTGTTTGGTGAATTTTAATTGGTGCAAGCCATCCTTCTGTCTAGTTGATTCTTTTGTGGCGTGTAACAGTATGTAACAACAACATATCAATGTGATGGAGACCTGTATTAAGCAAGACAATTCTACTACCATACAGCTGAGAGAGAAAGAGAGAGGAGAAGTGCAGATTTCTAGAAGGGAAAGGAAAACTGAGCTCCCATTGACCAAACTTGCAGTGTGTAAACTTTTCCTGACTGTTCTGTTTCAGATTTATATCCATGCAGATTCAAATCATATTTTGATTTCATATACAAGGAATTATTCATTACCTTTCAGACTACGTTTTTTGACTGTGTTATCTGTTTCCAGATCTGAACAATTTCTGTACTATAGTACAGTGCTCATCCTAACTTCCTCTCTGTCATACTGATACTGATCTTTTATTTTATTTTTGAATTCCTTTATAGAAAAGAAAAATTTAAAAACTTAAGTTGCATAAACTATCACACTCAATTTCTTGTCTAACATTGTTCTGTTCTTTGCATCAATAGATTACCCACATGCAAAGATTATGTAACCATATTATTTAAATCATTAAAAAAAATTAAGCATCCTGCATGGCAAAGCAAACACTAAACAACATGAAGATGTCACTGCACATAAAAACATAGGCATGGAAGTCACAACACCCCACGTGTACAGAGTATGAAATGGGAAATGTTAGGTATTAAATACAAGGGTAACTACTGAGGCTCTTGCAGGTTGTACTGAGAATCAATTTTCTTATATATATATATATATATATATAAAGTTTCATTTTTCAAATATTTACATATAATGTCATATCAAGCTAGGTATACAATTTAAAAAAAATCAACCGAAATTGCATTATATGCCTTTCTCATTTATCATTGACGTAATATATATATAATTTGATTTTAACATCATCTTTGCCTATAATCTACCATGTCAACTACACATAATAAAATAAAACTGAAAGTATTGCCCATGGCTATGTACTATTTAAATATTTTGATTATTATGTCTATGATATGTACACATTAAAATGCACAAGTTATATCAGCGTTATTGTCAGTACAGACACAAGATATAATCTTTATTTACCATTACAGTTTAATTGTGACTTCCTCTCTTACATACTGAAGGTAAACGGATACTGATCTGTTCTCTTACTTCTCATTTCCTTTACAGGAAAAACATTTTCTCTCTCAAACCACAACACTCCGTTAAATTACCTTTAATAAACAAACCTTTACGTAACTTAAACAACACTGAAATCACAGTGCCACACATGTACAAGGGTTTAAAGTACAAATTCCTAGGTATTATATACAACAGTAACATGTGATATTGAACTAAGTCTTGAAGATATCACTGCACATAAAAAACATCAATGCTGAAACCACTGTATCTTACATGTACAAGAGTTTTAAGTGCAAATTCCTAGGTATTATATACAACAGTAACATGTGATTTTAAACTTTAGGTCTTGAAGATATCACTGCACATAAAAAACATTTCTATATATTTCATACAATAATTGCAATTAATTAGGATTTTGTACATTTTACTGAAATATGATAGTGTAACAATATTCTAAACATTCTAATATATATTTATCATTTTTAAACATTTGCACATAATATCATAATCTATGTACACATAATGCAAAGTTAACTGAAAAAGTATAAACCTTTCTCATCTACGTACTTTGATTCTAACTTTAATTCCATCATCTACAACGTTAACATCAACTGCACATAGAAAAACTCAACTTTAAAAAGTTGTCTAGTGCTAAATAGTTTTTTTGATTACTATAATTTCTATGACATGTACAGATTAAAATGTGTGTAAATAGATAACATCACGGATCCTTGTACAAGAGAGTAGCGTGAATAAATCAACTCTGCTACCCACTTTATCTGTTCAAGTTGATTATTTTATGAAAAAAGTTTTACAGTCCAGTTGATATAATTTATACAAACAGAAAACATTGTCAGACATTGTGAGACCAGATATTAGGGTGGATTGTTCCCCAGTATCTAGTATATATATTTGATCACTTTACCATCTTCAACTGTTACAATGTGTCCCTGATGATCCACCAAGAATACATAGCCACTCATTGGTTGACACACACCTGTGATGTGATAAATAAATGTGCCATCAGATTTGATCTTCACAATCCTCCCTGTGTCTCCAATGTAGATGTCACCATTGTTGTCAGTACAGACACAAGATGGATGTGTTAACTGACCAACACCAGTGCCTGGGATGTTTACTTTGCCGTAGATGAATTTCTCTTTATTTTTGCTGTTCACCCCCAATAAACAGTGATTGTCAGGAAAGAGTAGGAACACATTCTTCTCCTTGTCAACTGCCATATCTGAGAGGGCTTTACCTTGCATCCATTTGTACCTGTCAGATGAAATGTAACACAAACCTTTAGAGGACATTGTGTTATCATTTATATACTGCACTTCCCATCCGTCCATGAATGCTGCCACATTTCCACATGAAGCAATGGGAACATGCCAACCATATGCAGTGTTTGTATTTTTTAGGCGACAAAATTGTGGAAGAGAAAATTCAACAACCCAACTTTCATTGGAACTTGCTGCAGAGTAAGCTACAACCAACCTGATGTCTCCTACTACAGCTAATTTACAGGGTTTCAGGTCTTTCAACCCAAGGCCAAAATGGTTCAGAAATTTCCCCTTTGTTGTGTAGTTTTCTACCTGATCATGTGCAGAATCCAGGACAAAGATGTCTCCAGAGCTGTTTTGGGCGATGCTTGTGTATGAACAATCTGTAGATGTTTTACCATGTTCCAGCTGAAACTCTGAGGCTTTCTCTGCTCTCCTATTGGTCCAACTGCTGCCCCATTTCTCGATGATTAACCTATTTCTTTTGGCTGAGGGCTCATCAGTGGTTCTCTCAGATTCTGCACCATTATACCTCTGAAGTGTTCCCATCAAGGTCCTGATGTCTTCTTCTTTTGGGGTGCTCTCATGGTAGAGAACTTTCAGGGGATCTCTAAGTCGAGGATCAGCATTGCTGAGTTGCATCTCTGCATACTGCTTCTTGAGCAATTCCACTTGGTTTGATTGTATGTTCCTGCTTTGCTGGATGTTGATGGCTTCCCAGAACATCTCCTCTGTAAGCTTGTGTTGTCTGTTGACTGTATTTGTGTATTTTGCTAGTTCTTTTAGCTTTTCTTTCAACAAATCATCAGTTTCTTTGATTAATTCTTCGCATCGGGCATCAGTGAGGATCTTGATTTGGTGTGCCTGTTGTTTGATTCTCTGGTGGATTTCCCTCCTGTTGAACATATATTTGATCTTTTCTTCTTCACAAGTTTTTAATTCTTCTTTCAGTTTTAACACAGATTGACTAAACTGTAAAACAATTGTAGTAAACTCTGAAAATGGTTTAGAATTGCCCTGATCTTCAAGCGCCACATCCTGTATTGGACCTTCTTTAACAACCTTCAGTGTGTGACCTTTATTGAGGTCATCATGGAAACTTTTACAGCAGTCACATATGTACTGGTGACACTCTTGACAATTATATGTGCTGCTGTCACCATCACACAGGTCACATGTCTTGACGTCTGCCTTGGTGCTCTGAACTTCTGCCATAAACAAATTGTGAGGAAGTTGTTGGAGACCTCCTTTAGGTGTAAGTGTCTTCCGTCTGCAAACAGGACATGAAAATGTGTCATCTTGACTGCCATTGCTGGTGACATGGAGCTGCAGACATCTGAGACAAAATGTGTGGTGACATGGCAGAACCCTGGGGTCTTTATATTCCTCCATACAGATGTGACATGTCGCAAAACTACCAGAAATATCTTTCTCCACGCCCCCAGTAGCCATCTTGGATTTTGTCAGTCTGATGATTTAAGTTGACAGTTTCAGTTATAAAAATACTGCAACAATGTATGAAAATACAGCAACAATCTATCAGTCTGAGAGTACTGTATCAATGTTTCAGAATACTGCTTCAATATATCAGAGTACTGCAACAATGTATCAAACTGTTCATTGATTGATTTCATCAGCACTTACTGTATGAGGAAGTTGTCTTTCCAAGTATTGGAAAATTTCTAGCTTTTGATTCTGTTGCACATGTGCCATGACCTCGGACTTTGATAAGAAAAGTTCATTGGAATATGCACACAGCGAAAGTGTCACTTATGTTTACAGGCTATCATGTTTTAAAAAAGTGTGCAATTAAGATTCAAAATATTTTTATAAATAAACAATAGGCCCTAATTAATTAAATAATTAATTCTGTGTTAGTATTATAACTCCTATAATTCTTCATATTGATCAAGGTTGAACTGCTTTCAAAGTTCAGCTTATCACATTCAGTTCTCATGAACACTGAGAGCCCCTCTGTTAGGGGTTGTATCTATTTACAGTGTGACTTTTATATCTATGTAGGCCACTGAGGTCATAGTGTTACACAGCCCAGCCTGAAGTTGACTTAGGATTGATCAATAACTTTATAGTTACATATTAAGTCAAATCTTTGTCTCTGAACCAAACCAAACCCCACTACATACATTTAAATAACACATTTTAACATGTAATAAGTCATTTGTACTGCCTCTACATGTACTAGTACCAAGTACTCTTCTAGACTAAAGGTAAAATTAGAGACCTCTGATGGATTTGTAGGATTTATTTGGCTACAGGCCTGTCTCCAAAATGTCCAAAAACATTTCATGCTAAAGTTTGCTTTCTGTTTAGTTCAGCAGTCTCCTGATAAATACTAGACATTGTCATCCCTTTCAGGCAGCTGTACTGTGTCAATATAAACATTACGTATGTTACATTGCAGGCCACATTTATTCAATTCTTAAATCTTTTCAAGTTAATTCTGATAAATACTAGACATTGTCATCCCTTCCAGGCAGCTGTACTGTGTCAGTTTCTTGAGGAGGTGGACTACGTGACTGCCTTCCGCTCTTTCCAGGAAAAACACTGTCAGGATGCCATGGATGCTTACTATGACTGCATATGGGATGTCACCATTCTGGAGTTTCTGATTAGTATCCTTTGTCCAGTGTCCAGCATTAGCCTCTGGTCTGAGACAGTTGACCAGTAGATTTGATATTGGACTAATATGAGCAGAGAAAAGATGAGTGTAAAGTTGCTTCAGATTTTTTTCCTTTATTTATTTATTTATTTATTTATTTATTTATTTATTTTATTTGGTAATGGCTAATTTTGAAAGAAAAATTACAGTAGATACTCATTTGCTTCATTGCTTTATTGAATTAGTTAATCTGAATTTATTAGTGAAAATTTATTAAGTGTGTGTCCACGAGAAAACCAGACCAAATGTAGAAAATGCGGCAAGGCGGGGGTGAACGGATTTACACCATATTTGGTGTGTTTGAACTTTTATATGAACAATATCTGAGGCTGCAATATTTCCTGAAAAAAATCCCTACCTACAGAGATATGGGCAGTCACAATTTGGGGGGTTAATCAACCAAAAATTCATCTGAAAAACAGGGTTATATTGATTGGCCTTACAGTTTATACAGGTGTCACTTAATGATTTAGTTTGGTGATATGTTATAACCTAAAGATAGGGGATTAAAATGATATACACTTTTTTCACCCTCTTTGTTTCCATGGTAACAAACTAAACGTTTTTCTCAGGGCTACGAACCACATGCTTTGAACACCCCCCNCTTGACGTCTGCCTTGGTGCTCTGAACTTCTGCCATAAACAAATTGTGAGGAAGTTGTTGGAGACCTCCTTTAGGTGTAAGTGTCTTCCGTCTGCAAACAGGACATGAAAATGTGTCATCTTGACTGCCATTGCTGGTGACATGGAGCTGCAGACATCTGAGACAAAATGTGTGGTGACATGGCAGAACCCTGGGGTCTTTATATTCCTCCAGACAGATGTGACATGTCACAAAACTACCAGAAATATCTTTCTCCACGCCCCCAGTAGCCATCTTGGATTTTGTCAGTCTGATGATTTAAGTTGACAGTTTCAGTTATGAAAATACTGCAACAATGTATGAAAATACAGCAACAATCTATCAGTCTGAGAGTACTGTATCAATGTTTCAGAATACTGCTTCAATATATTAGAGTACTGCAACAATGTATCAAACTGTTCATTGATTGATTTCATCAGCACTTACTGTATGAGGAAGTTGTCTTTCCAAGTATTGGAAAATTTCTAGCTTTTGATTCTGTTGCACATGTGCCATGACCTCGGACTTTGATAAGAAAAGTTCATTGGAATGTGCACACAGCGAAAGTGTCACTTATGTTTACAGGCTATCATGTTTAAAAAAAGTGTGCAATTAAGATTCAAAATATTTTTATAAATAAACAATAGGCCCTAATTAATTAAATAATTAATTCCGTGTTAGTATTATAACTCCTATAATTCTTCATATTGATCAAGGTTGAACTGCTTTCAAAGTTCAGCTTATCACATTCAGTTCTCATGAACACTGAGAGCCCCTCTGTTAGGGGTTGTATCTATTTACAGTGTGACTTTTATATCTATGTAGGCCACTGAGGTCATAGTGTTACACAGCCCAGCCTGAAGTTGACTTAGGTTTGATCAATAACTTTAAAGTTACATATAAAGTCAAATCTTTGTCTCTGAACCAAACCAAACACCACTACATACATTCAAATAGCACATTTTAACATAGAAGCAAGTTATTTGTACTGCCTATACATGTACTAGTACCAAGTACTCTTCTAGACTAAAGGTAAAATTAGAGACCTCTGATGGATTTGGAGGATTTATTCTGCTATAGGCCTGTCTTTAAAATGTCCAAAAACGGGGGCGTCTCGATAGTCCGAAGGTTCATTGGTCCGAAGATTCATTGGTCCGAAAAGTGGTAACATTTTTATGGATTTTTTTATCAAGGGTTCATTGGTCCGAAGGTTCTATAGTGAACATTCGGACTATTGAACCTTTGGACTATCGTTACGGCCCCCCAAAAACAATATGCTAAAGTTTGCTTTCTGTTTAGTTCAGCAGTCTCCTGATAAATACTAGACATTGTCATCCCTTCCAGGCAGCTGTACTGTGTCAGTTTCTTGAGGAGGTGGACTACGTGACCGCCTTCCGCTCTTTCCAGGAAAAACACTGTCAGGATGCCATGGATGCTTACTATGACTGTATATGGGATGTCACCATTCTGGAGTTTCTGATTAGTATCCTTTGTCCAGTGTCCAGCATTAGCCACTGGTCTGAGACAGTTGACCAGTAGATTTGGTATTAGACTGATATGAGCAGAGAAAAGATAACTGTATAGTTGCTTCAGATTTTTTTCCATTTTTTTAAATTTTATTTTTTTATTTATTTATTTATTTATTTATTGCTTATGGTTAATTTTGGATGAAAAAGTAACTGTAGCTTCTCATTTGCTTCATTGCTTTATTTAATTTATTATTTAAAATTTTATAATTTGCCTGTCGTCCCAAAGTAGCTTAATGGTCTCTAGTTTCAGTTATTTTATTAAAAATGAACCTAGCCTATTACAGGGATCATATCACAGGCTCCATATTTCAGTGCAGCTTGAGAGTACTATCACATCAGATTTCTGATAATTGTTGTACTCTAAGGCATGGGGGTTATGGTTTTCATATACATTGTTATAGCATATTAAGTGCATTTTGCATCTACTAAAGAAAACTTTAACAAGTGCTAGATCTTCATGCCAAGAAGGGAGAACTTGAGAAGAAACAAAGGGCTGTAAGTATCTTATCATTTCTCAACCACTCTTAACTGGGCAAGTCTCTAATTTATATTTTTACTTAATATATTACCAAAAGTAATAGTTTATAATTATATTACATAAAGTCATAGTTAAAATTGTCACACATTTTTCAGATAGTTTATGCAATTGCATACATTTTTTTTTTACACATTTCATTTTTTTTTTTCAGTTGCATGCCATTGGTCAGTTGGAATTGAACAGCAGCAATTCAGAGGATATTCTAGTTCAAGCCAAACAGAAAAGAATGCAGAAATTCCTCAGGACATTAGCCAAGCACTATCTATGAGAGAGAGCAGTGTGTGTGTGTGTGTGTGTGTGTGTGTGTGTGTGAATGAGAGAGAGGGGGGGGGAGAGAGAGAGAGGCCACATACATTGTGTCGGGGAGCAAGAGATTGAGAGAGAGATTTACATTCTTTAAATGAAAAAATAAAAAACTGAGAATGCATGAAAATGTCCTATTATAGACAATAGCTGTCAAGTAAAAAAAAAAACAGAATTCTTCGACAATTAAAAAGAGTAAATAGTGTTTTTAAATGAAACAAGGTAAAAATGTGATAATTTAAAGGCTAAAATTGTCAGCTACTGTTTGGTATCTGGTGCATCTTGGGTCTCGTGACTACTGTTAGTAAGTGATACTATTCTCTTTGTTGGGTTATCAATTTCTTTGTGGGCAAAATGTCTTACAATTGTCTGTATAAAATACAATTAAATTCCTAGAAAAGACAGTTATTGAATATTTAGGAGCAAAAACAAGTCATTTACAATTTCAACTGAGTCTGATTCTCCTAATATTTAAAGAATTTCACAGAATTTTTGCCTTTTTTATGGCAGACATCTGTGTTCATGCTGCGCTTCCTAGTATTACATATGCTTGGAATCCATACGACACAACTTGTAAATTTGAGCTGAATTGAAATAAAAGAAATTCTCTCAGCATCCATATCTTTGTTGTAAGAAAAAAATTAATTGTTTCACATTTGTTTTTATTTAAAGGGAAATAATCCATGTCCATATAGTTACATACCTTACAAATAATTTAAATAGTTGACACCTTTAATAAATTTGCACAAATACAAAAATGAAAAGAAAAACTGCTAAAGTGATTTAGGGAAACAAAACTTGACAACCAGCATCAAATTGTGTCAGTGCAATTTTTCTCCATATAAATAAGAAATATGGGATAATTTTCTTGCTAACAGTAAACACTGCAAATAATCGTCCATCTTGAAAATATGCACTCTATCAGTTCTTTATAAATTTTGGACACTGAACATGTTAGTGTCCGATGCAGTGACAACACTAATGCAGCATGCTCTCTGTGTGAATCCAACACAACCCTCTTGGCTCAAGACACAGGCAGATTTACATTTTGGTAAGAGTCCTGTCGGTGCTTGTCATTTTCAATTAATTTTTGTATGTATTGTCAGAATTTTAGCTCTTTCATCCAAAACTTTAATTAGTTGACAACAAAAATTATGCCATCTGAATTAATTTTGTAGTTAAATTAATTAGAAAGGTTATGAAATTATGCTCTATTAGTAAATACTATTTATGTAATATTACATTTGTATACTCAATTAAGAGTATAAAACATTTCTGGAACACCCCATTAACTTTTTTCTTCATAATAACAAAATCATTTCTGTAGCAGTTTGTTTCCAATTAAACTATATATATATTCAGTGAAGTATTTCAATCATTCCCAGCACATGCCCAGTATTCTGGTGCTATGCACTGTTACATGGAGGCAGCCTTGGTGGCGTCAGACTATTTCTCCCGTCCCGTCCCCAAGACCATCCTTGATGACCAAGTGTACAAGAGGCTCATCAAGAGCTGCAACTTTCTGCAGTGTTACACACAGGTAGGGGGCGTTGATAGGACTATTTTTAAGATTCAGGATGAGAAAAAAATGAATTAAAAGCTGAATTAAAGCCACATTTTAATACTAATTTTCATAGACAAACAATTCTTAATATCTTATCTTAATATCCTCTCTTCTTGACTGTATTATTTCAGTTTCAATGGTATCCAGTTTGAAAGCTGATTTTTTTTTTTTTTTTTTTTTTGACATTTACAGTTTAATTGTACATGTAACTTCCTCTCGTGCATGCAGAAAGTGAAAATCTGATACTGCTCCTCTTCTTGCTTCTTTTACAGAAAAAAGGTAAAAAAACAAAGTTTTTACACAATCAACCACACTCCAAGTAATTACCTACACTAAAGGATAATATGTTATTTTACATTTTTGAAATAATTCTAATCATTGTCATTACCTAACCAAAACAAATTGAAGATATTTGCACTTCATAAACTCTAAAATCAATATGCAACACATGTATAAGAGTTTGAAGTGGAAAATTCTAGGTATTATATGCAACAGTCTTGATTGAACTAAGTCTTGAAGATATCACTGGACATAAAAACATAAACACTGAAATTACTATATCTTACATGCACAAGAGTTGAAAGTGGATATTTCTAGGTATTTCATACAGTAGTAATAATAATTGAGGTCTTGTACGTTTTACTGAAATTTGATACAATAACTATTTCAAGCATGCTTACATATTTTTGTAATTTTTCAAACATTTGCATATAACATCATTATCTATGTACACATAATGCAAAGATAACTAAAATAGCACATACCTTTCACATCTACTCTGATTTTTACTTAAATTCTGTCTATCATCTACAGCATCAACTACACATAGAAAAACACAAAAATAAAAAAAAAGTTGTCCATGGCTAAATGGTTTTTGATAACTATATATTCTATAACAAAATGGAACTTTGCAAAAGAGTGAAGCTTGAATAAATCAACTCTGCTACCCAGTTCCTCTGTTCAGGTTGATCTGTTTATGAATATACGGCCCAGTTGATATAATTTATACACACAGAATACATTGTCAGTCAGTGTAAGTCCAGGGATATGTTAGGGTGGATTGTTCTCCAGTATCTAGTATATATATTTGACCACTTTACCATCTTCAACTGTTACAATGTGTCCCTGATGATCCACCAGGAATACATAGCCACTCATTGGTTGCCACACACCTGTGATATGATAAATAAATGTACCATCAGATTTGATCTTCACAATCCTCCCTGTGTCTCCAATGTAGATGTCACCATTGTTGTCAGTACAGACACAAGATGGATGTGTTAACTGACCAACACCAGTGCCTGGGATGTTTTCTGTTCCATAGATGAATTTCTTTTCCCCTGAGAGAGAGCAGTGTGTGTGTGTGTGTGTGTGTGTGTGTGTGTGTGTGTGTGTGTGTGAGAGAGAGAGGGAGAGGCCACATACATTGTGTCGGAGAGAGAGAGAGAGAGAGAGA